CGGTGGGAAGTTGCGGCCGCGGCGGCTGGCAGCCGGGGCGGCCCGGAGGAGTCCCCGCGGGGAGCGCAGCCCGGCGCCCCCCACCCGCCACCCGCGAGCCCTTCCGCAGCCGGGCGCCAGCTCACCCCCGCCCCCCACGGTCCCTCCCTTTTCTCCTCAAGTCCTGAAGTTGAGTTTTCGAGGCGACACGGCGGCGGCGGCCACGCTGCTCCCGCTCCTCTGTCTCCCCATGGATATGCACTGCAAAGCAGACCCCTTCTCAGCGATGCACCGTGAGTACCGGCGCCCGCCTCCTGGGCAACTCGGGGCTCCGCGTCCCCGTCCGGTCCTGTCCCCAGGCGGCCCCGGCTCCCTGCGCTCGGACTCCATCTCAGAGGCCGCGCTGGCTCCTCTCGGGCCCCCATTTCGTTCCTCCTCTTTCCCTCGGCCCTGTGTTTCTCATGCCTCGCAGCTTCCTTCCCCTCTGCCTGTCACCCAGACTTACCTTTCCTCTGCCTGCCTCCGCTCCTTCCACCTGCTCCACCTCACGTCTCAGGGTCTTTGGCAGCCCCAGGTCTTGACTTCCACCACCCCACGCCCTGGTGACCCTGGGCGCCCCGGACTGGGGCGCTCATGGGCAGACAGCGCAGGGTTGTGTTTTGTACTGCGTTTTCTGGTCTCTCCCCCACGTTCGCTCTCTCTCTTTGCCTCCTCCTTCTCCTTTTCCTCTTCCGTCCCTTTTTCAAACTTAAGAGTGGTGGGCACCCAGAAGACTCCCAGCGTGGGCAGTTTCCTTGTCAGGACAAATTGGGTGCAGCGTGTGGGAGTGGGGTGTCCCCTTCTGACCCTCAGCTCCCTGCAGCTCCTGGGCCCTCCTACCCAAGCTAAGGCCAAGCTCCCGGCTGGCTGGAAATGCTCCCTACATCGCCCTTCACTTCTTGCTCCTTACCCCTCTGCTTTCTCTTCTCCTCTCCTGGAGTTGGGAGTCAAAGTTGGCAGGACATCCCCCGTGGTGGTCATTTCCCCCCACCTCTCCTTGGGAGAGGCTCTAAAAACAAAGGGGGAGTTCCTAAGGAGAAATCGAAGTCAACCCCGAGGCAAGCAGCTAGCTGCCAGGGTAGAGTGCATGTGACCCCAGTTTTGGAGGCTTCTTTCTGGGCTGGCCTCCTACTCCCTGGTCATCGCATGGAGTCATCACCCTGGCCAGGGGTCGAAGCAGGGATGGAAGAGGGGACGAGAAAGAGGGGAGAACGAAAGGAAGGCAAATGCCAAAGCCTGGGTGAAAGAAGAGACATGAAAGGGGGGAGGAGGAATCCAAGAAAGAAAATTGAAAGCCTTTTTGCAAGAAAGAAGGGAGCAAATCGGAGGAAAAGCGAAAGAGGGGGCACTGTTTTAATAAAATGTAAATGGATCTAGTTCCTGACATTTGTCTTCGATCGGAAAGCACTTCTGAGATTTTTCTCCCCTAGGGGTTAAAAAAAAGCGTCTAAATAGAAAGCCCCTCCCCATCTGTAGATTAATAATTAAGGATAATTTGTAACTTTTCACAGGGAAACTTTCAAGACCTGATTTGGCTCTGTTCTGTGGGGAAAAGAGCTGAGGAGGGAGAGCTGTGTGGTGTGTTTTGTGTTGTTTCCCCCTGAAGATTATATTTAGCTAACAGGGAGAGCTTTATTAATTATGCCTGGAATAAAATAGATCTCCCAACATCATTTCCAAGCACGGGGAACCAAGCGGGGTCTGCTGGTCGCCGCTGGTAGCCGCGAGGCAGACGGGAAAACCTCACTCCTTTCGCGAGCGAGAGGACCCGGGTCTGCAGCCGCCTGCGCTCTGTCGGCCTGCCGCTGCCCGGCCGCCCCTGCTTGCGCTCGCTGCCCTCTGCTGCGGATCCTGCCGGGCCTCGGCCGAGCCCCGCCGCCCGCCAGGTGCCACTCGGAAACCCTAGGGGAAGCCAGGCAAGCTGTAGGGGATCGGAGAAGGGAGCTAGCCGCGTGTGAGCCGGCGGGCTGAAGGGCCAGCAGGCGATAGCCGCAGTCTGAGTAGGCGCCCGCAGCGGTGGCGCATTCCAGGCCTGACTGTGCAGGCTCCCGGGAACTCAGCCTTGGACCCTCGGCGTGTCCCCTTCCTATCCCCACCCTTAGATTGGGGCCGAAGGGCCGGGCCTGGAGCCCGGGGAGGCTGAATTATTCATCTTTAATCTGCCCGCAGCTGCCACCTTTTCAGACCGGTAACGCGAGTTCTCCCGGGGCCTAAATTATTGATGGAGGGGCTTTGGAGGGCGGGGAGGGTGAGGAGTGGGCTGGAGGTAGGTAGAGAGTCAAGGGGGCGAGTAAAAGGAGAGGCTCCTTCCTCCCCCAACTACCCAGCTCAGGCCCACTCCCCAGAGCTTTCGACCAGGGTACCCTGGCTCCCCGTCCCAGAAGGGGACAAAAGGGAGATGAGGGGAGCGCAGATGTCCCCCGCTTTCTCCGAAAGTCGCTGGTGGCTGGCGGGGCAAGAGGCTGCAGGTTGTCGGCCCGCCGCTGGGCCAGCCGCTCGTTCTGCGGCCCAGTCTCTGCGGCGGTTAGATCCTGCTGGGCACCGGATTTCTCGACTGCTGCAAGCTAAGGAGGACGGGGCCAGGAGTGGCGCCCTGCGGTCGGGCACCGTGACCGCCTGGCTGCGAGGTGGGGAGCCGGCGCTGCAGCTGGGATCTCCTCTTGGCTTGGCCAGGAGAGCAAACGCCCGTGGTGTGCGGTTGCCAGCGCAGCTGCCGGCCCAGGGGTCAGAGATGCCCGCTGGCTGGGGCTGGCCGCACAGGCTGCCCCTGAACCTTTAGCCCGCCGAGTGGCGACCTGGACCAGGCGATCTGGGCGAGGTGACAGGTCTAGGTTCGGCGCTGCACGGCAGCGGTCGAGCCAGAGCTGCTAGAGCCTAGCTTGCCTCCTCTGCCGCAGTTGCTTGGCGGCCTTCTGTCCAGCGGACGCTGAACCCTGGCCTCCTCCGCTGTTCTCCCTCAACCTGATTTTCTTTGAACTTTAGACCTTCTGGAGGCGAAGGGGATATATAGTCAAAGATAAAATAATACGAAGAAGAAAGAAAGAAAATCTCACAATTAAGCACAACAGAAAAAGAGGTAGAAAAACCTCGCTTTAAAAAAATAAATCCGAAGAAGCAGATAGAGAGGCAAAGGTCTTAGCCTGTGTTTGAGTTAGGAGTCTCTTCTGGAAAGCATCATCCAGATCCAGACACCCCCGTCCCCCCACCCCCAAATCACCTTTCTCCAAGACCTCGGCGCACCAAATCCCCCTTGCCTGCGGCGCAGGCGGGACCCCTTTCGGCGGCCGCCTAATCCGCCGTTCAGCCCTTCTCCTCCGCTTTCCTTCCTCCTTCCCCGCTGGCATGATCCCCCCCCCTCCCCTCCGCTGTTCGTTTCTTTCTCCTCACGCTGCCTTACTGTCTTCGCTTCCCGGGGCATCTCCACCCCTTCCTAGCCACTGCTACGGGTCGCCTGGTCCAAAGTCCACGTTCTTTCCCAGACCAGGGCTCCGCGTGTGTTTCCGCGTCTCTGCAGCCCTGGGGTTCCCTCCCATCCCCAGTCCCCACCCCTTGTGGAGCGCGGGGCCACCCGTATCCCAGACGTGGGACGTGCCCCTCTGCCCTGCCCGTACCCTTCGCACGTCCCGGGCTGCGGGCCCTGACTAATGGCCGGTCCCTGCTGTGTGTGGGGTGTTGTGTTTTTTTCTTGTCTCTCCCCAGCAGGGCACGGGGGTGTGAACCAGCTCGGGGGGGTGTTTGTGAACGGCCGGCCCCTGCCCGACGTGGTGAGGCAGCGCATCGTGGAGCTCGCCCACCAGGGCGTGCGGCCCTGTGACATCTCCCGGCAGTTGCGGGTCAGCCACGGCTGTGTCAGCAAGATCTTGGGCAGGTGAGAGCCTCGAGCTACTGGGGCGATGCTCTGCCTTCTGGCCCGGTCAGCCCTGGGTCTGCGGCTGAAAGCCCTGGACACCGAGCAGAGGGAGGGAGACCCCCAGCTCCAGGGGACCCGGTGCCCTGCTCCACCTGGAGAGGACGCTTAGGTGGTGGCTGCGGCCCCAGGAGCGAGGGTGGAACTGGGTCACCCAGCCCCAGGGCCCTCTGGTGGAGGCGGCTGATTGCCGCCTGAGGAAGGGAGGGACGCCCCTTCCAGAGGAGTGAGTGCGGATGGGAGGTGGGCGGGGGTTAGGTGACAGGAGTGGGGAGGAGTGAAGGGTCCCCAGACGAGGCAGAAGCAGCATTTGGGAGATCTAGGCCCCCAAGGGCGCTCTGCGCTCTTTGGGAAAGGCTGGATTGGTCGGCCTGAGGCTTCGCCCGGTTCTTCTTGCGCTTCCCAAAAGGAAGCCCCGGTTTTCTCTCTGGGCTGGCGCGCGCGCCTCTCAGGAGCGTCCCTTGTGCCCTCGCCCTCGTCCTCCCCCTCGCGCTCCGCCGCCTCCCCGGCCTCAGCCCAAAGCCCGCAGAAAGCCAGCTCAGCCTCGCTGGGACTTCTCCTTGGGCGCCGCTGCCTAGAGCGAGCTGGGGAGCGGCTTGGCGGCCCCCGCAGCCCGCTGCAGCCCCCTGCCACCACCGCCGCCACCCCTCGCTTACCCCGCCGGCCTTCCCGGCGCAGGTACTACGAGACCGGCAGCATCAAGCCCGGCGTGATTGGCGGCTCCAAGCCCAAAGTGGCGACCCCCAAAGTGGTGGACAAGATCGCCGAGTACAAGCGACAGAACCCGACTATGTTCGCCTGGGAGATCCGAGACCGGCTCCTGGCCGAGGGCATCTGCGACAACGACACGGTGCCCAGCGTCTCCTCCATCAACAGGTGAGCAAACCACCAGCCTGTAGGGTAGGACCTCTCCCCAGCAGTCTCAACTCCTTCTCCAGCCTCAGCTCAAGATCTCTGGGGAGGATCGAGCACCTGGGAGCCAGAGGGGGAGGGAAGGACAGGCAGGCAGGCAGGCAGGCAGGGCTCTCTCTCGTTGGGCTTGGGTCCGGTGCAGTCTCTGCCTGGCTCTCCCTCAGTGTCCTGGAAATGAATCCAAGAGTTAGTGGTAATTAAGACTCCAAGATTACCAGCGAGCCTCGGTATCTAGAAACAATCACAGTCCACAGCCAAAGCCTTTAAAATGGCCAGTGTCTATTCATTGCAGCCAAATAGACTTCTCTTTCAACAGACGGGGTTCCCTTCCCCAGGGGCCACTGCCCATCCTGGCTCCCCCGGCCTTCCCTGCCAACTCCCACAAAACCTGCCACCCCAAGCCCATGCCACCCCAGCCAGCTCCCTGCACAAGCTCCAGGCCTGCAGGGCTGGTCATCACTAGGTCTTTGGCGAACACCAGCCACCAGTGCCATGGGTGCCAGAACAGAGGAGCTGGGCAGGGGAGGGGTTGCCAGGGAGGGAGGCAGGACCCTAGACCCCGAGATTGGACCTTGAGAGATGCTCTCAACCACCTAGGGTGCTCATCTCCAGCTGAAGTCTTTGGGCTGATGACAGGTTCATCAGGGAGACCCAGATGCAGAATAGCACTGGGTGGGAGGTACACCAGTTCCCAACCTACTCCAATATGTGTGCACCCAGACCAGTGTGTGTGTGTCTCTGGGTGGCCAACCCAGAATATGCAAATCACAGTTGGACCCAGACTCCCAGACAGACAGACTTCTTGATGGCAGAGCTGTCCAACCTGACATCCCAGACACACACCATGTGGGGGCAGGTCCCAGACAGCCTTGGCCAGCCTTTCCACCTGTGCTCTCCATTCTATGGAGAGCCCCAAGTGAGAAAGGCTGGGGCTAAGGATTTCTTACCCTCCTTATTTTTTGTATTCTTCATAGACGCGTTATTAGGCAAATAATAATTCAGATGGTGCCTTTTCTGAAACTGGCATCATGTATCAAGGTGGGGTTTTTTTTGTTTTAAATATTTTGCAAATGATATGGAATTATCCCAAATCATCCTGAAAACAGCAGGTAAAATTAGCTGGTGGAATGTACCTTGGCTAAAGAAGATTCCCCGTGCCACACTCGTGCTGTAACGCACGGCAAGGCGACCCCAGAAATTATCCCAGTGTGTGCCATCTGTATTAAAATGGTTATTCAGTTATGAACAGGGTAACATAATACTGATCAGCTAATTACACACCCTCAGAAAACCCTCCAGCTCCCTGGGCCAGGCTCAGCCAGGTCTTGGAAGCAGAGAGTTTGACATTCACACACCTTCGGAAGGAGCTGGAGAAAGGGCTGGCTGGTGTGGGAGAGGAATGAGTCCTTTACATGGAAAAGCCAGAGGAGGGGTCTGGGGAGCTCTGGCCAGAGACTGACCTGGTGGTTAGAGAGAAGAAAAGGATAAAGCAATTGTTTGCTGCTTCTGGTCCTGGGGGTGCTTTGGGACTGAGGTCTTGGGGAGAGGGTAGCTGGCTGGCTGAGTGGTCCTGCTGAGATCCGTGGTTGGCATTGGGTGGTGGCATTCTGAAGAACACTTGTGAGAAATGCTTCTTTTCAGTGAAAGGACAGAAGACTCTTTTGGGGACCCCAAGAAATGGATGGTTGTGGCGACGTGTTTCTTCTGAGTGGGTGGACGGGTCAGGGCCACAGCAGTCCAGCCTAGCAACCCCTTGTCTCCCAGCAGACCCCCACCCCCATCCCTGCAGAGACATTTTGGAAGCGGGGTTTGGCACATATTTGGAAATGCCCTCCTGAAAAGTCACGGAGAGCAGGGGATGGGGTGACCCTAGAGTCAAGCTCTCGAGGCCTTGAGGTACGCCCATCGGAAAGGAAGCGGAGAAGTGAGCTTCCAGGGAGGTGGGAGTGGGAGGAAGCTGGGCCTCTGCTTGATGGTTCTGACAGCGGCAGAGTGGACTCAGCACACAACCCTGTCATCTGAGGGACCTGACTGCCCCCTTTGGGCGTGGAGGCCTCACCATCCGCGGGCAGGTGTGGCTTGAGATTAGAGGGAGGGCAAGGGGCGGAGGCGGTGCAACACGGACAGCATGGACCACCAGTCCCAGGCCCAGGGGCGGCTGGCTGGCTAGCGCCGTCCACCAGGAATAGCCAGACTCTTCTTGCTGTGGCTTGGGACAGAATCCTCCCACGTTATGTGCTTCTGAAAGACTTCTGGGGGACTCCCAGTGTGCAGCTGAGTCAGGCCTGGCAGGATGCAGCTACATCCTTATCGGCGCTTTGTTTGATGGGAGAAGGTGTTTTTTTCTCTGAGATGTGTTGTTTTCCTATAAAGCCTGATGGAGGCAGCTGTTACTGTCGGTGCTGATTGTATCAGAATGTGACCCCTTTTGCGGTCCGCAGAATCCTTTACTTGTGGCCCGAGAGGCCGGAGATTGCTTCTGCGTAGCAGGTGCAGACCGTTAGGCAAGTGGGTGATTCTTGAGTTGTGAGGTTTATTGTTGGTGAGGTGCCCACGGTGTTGGGTCCTGCATAACTGTGATCTAAGGGCATGTGCCAGTGGTTGGCAAGAGAGGAAGCCCACACATGGGTCCCTACCTGAGCCAAATCATCCGGTGTTTCATCTTCCCCTCCTCAAAACAGATGCTGTTGCCGCACGTGAAATATGCTCTTTATGGTTATAAACAAAATTACCTTGCGTGGTTTAAAAATGGTTTTGGCATTCTCTGATCTTGTTGTGATAAAGCCTGGGCCATCCAACCCGTGTGCTCCACGAGAAAACCTCCTAGAAATGTCCGTCTGAGCCAATGGAGTGAGCCCGGTGCCTCCTCTGCCTCCACCCCGGGGACCGCAGTCAAAACTCCCCAGGGTTGACTGAGTTGCTTAGCACGAGGAATTTGTCTGAATCACTCTAAATATTGGGTTACTGATCACTGAGCACATGGTTGCCAGCCTCTCTGCTTGTACACCGCTGCTGTAGAGGGATGGTGTTTATAAACAGGTGACTTTAGAGTGAAACCTGGTATGAGAAATGGGCCCGGAGGGGGAGAGATGGAGGGAGATCCCTGCTACCCAAAGGGGAAAAAGTCACTTAGTTACATCACTCAGCAATTGACCAGGCAGGAAGGATTTTCCTGATTGTGTGCCCAGGTCTTCTGGTCTAGCTATTGCTCTTGGGAGAGAGTAGAGCTCTTTAAACAAAACAAAATAAAAGAGGTTCACTGTCCTTAAGTCTAGGCTTGCTGAAGAGCCCCCGAGGGCAGTCTCTTGGAGTGAGCCGACAGTAAAGTCATCACTCTCCAGCTTCTTCAGTCAGCCCTACACTTCTTGGGGTCCAGGCATGCTTTGTTCCTGGATCTTTTGAGTGGACTTCTCCAAAGTGAACTTCACCCCCGTCACCTGCCACCCACTCCCCCCCTTAGTTCTTAGGAGCCCATTCACATGGAAGCCTCAGCGCTGTGCTAAAGAATTCCTTCTGGTATCACTCAGCCATCCACCACTGGGCCATTCCCAAGTCTTCTCCAGGAGCCCGGCAGTGGTACACCAGCTGTTCATTCAAAGACATTTCCAAAGGAGCGAGGAGCCACTCATTTTAGCCAAAGGAATATTGAAAACATAGGGCTGGGTCTGTCTTCCCTCTGGGAAACTCAACTTCCAGAAGGATTGCACATTTGACTCTTGAACCTGACTTGGAATTGAACAAGGCCAGAGGGCAGCGGGGGTGGTGGGGTGGGGGGAGTGCTTGCCACATTTTCAGACCCTTGCAGTTGTTTGGCCTTGACAACCAGGGCAAGTGGGTGGCTGGAGAAGGCTTTCCCCACCCCAGAGGAGTAGAAGACATAAAGGTAGAACTCTCAGCTTCAGCTGCCCCGGACTTAGTAGAACAGGCCACAGATAGCAGACAAACTCAACAGTTTCTGTCTGAGAAGCCTTGTTCACTTGTCTCCCAAGTAAGGTCATACGCTGATACATTTGGTCATCATTAGAAGAAGATGCAAAATAGGCAGGGATGTTGAGCTTCTTGGAGTCTCTGGGTGGTGCAAATAGTGAAGCACCCAGCTACTCATTCAAAGGTTGGCTGTTTGAGTCTACCCGGAAGTTCCCAGAAAGACGGGTTTGATTGATCACTTGAAGAAATCAACCACAGAAAATCCTGTGGAGGCCAGTTCTCAGACACGTATGGGTTTGCCAGGAGTCGTGGTTGACTCATCGGCAACAGGCTGGTTTGGGGTTTTGTTTGTCTTCTGCTTCTTTAAAACAAATGGTTGTTGTCTTTCTGAAAAGCTCATTTTTGTGTTTGTAGCTGTTTTAGACTGGGGTTCTTGGCCAGTGTCCTATAGGCCTGTCTCTTCCCTGGCTGCTGGCCTCACGTAAGCTTGCAGGCCCCTCAAAGGCTTTTGGGTGAAAGCAATGGCCCATTACCCTAAGATCTTACCTTAACTGGAAGCTCTTCAAAAGGGGAGACAAGAGTGGTGGCCCTGAATGAAAGCTCCAGGTGAACTTTGGAAGGTGATTCAAAGAAGAAGAGAGAGGGGGAAACCTGTAAATAAATAAATAAAGTGTGCCCCCACTGTTCTGAGAACTCAATAAAACAATCACATCAAATATGAAGAGGCATAAATCTTGTGTCTGCACAGGGAACCTACTCAATTGCCTTTATTATCGCTCAGGCTGCCTCCATTTATTTCAGTCCAGGGCCTGGGCCCAGGAGGCGGCATGGAGGGTGGTCTCCAGTGCAATCCTACACCCGAGAGGCAGCAATCAGCCCATACAGCTAGGGATTTCGAGGGGAGCCCAGGAAGGACCCATCTGTCTGCATGAAAACCAATCAATAACTCTGTAACCAGAGCCCGTGTCACAGGGAATGGACAACACAACAGTTCAATACAGGGGCCACAGGGGGAATTAGCCAAGTTGAGATGGGGC